TATCAAAAGATATAGCATCTGGGGTCTTAAAGGCTTGAAAATAAACAGGCAGCCATCTAGCTGAGAAACAACAAAGCCCACATAGAAGAAGCACACCAGCCTACCCCGACAGGATCGCTTAAGACAAAGCAGATGCAAAAGTAAATGCGGTGAAGAAAGCTGATGGTGCCCAGCTATCAAAAGATATAGAATGTGGGGTCCTATGGGCTGGAAGATAAACAAGTAGCCATCTATCTAACTGAGAAACAACAAAGCCCACATGGAAGAAGCACACCAGCCTGTGAGAACACAAGGCGTCAAAAGGGAGACGTCGGATGGTGTAAGATATGCAGCAAGGGCAACCTTTCAGGTTAGGAAATGTTGCAGCTGAAATATCTCTGGGGTGGAAAACAGAATTCCAAATGGTGGAAGGAATTTATGGTGTTCTATTTCCCTCATAGCATTTTCTTCTTTACTAAATTATTTTCTCTTTATTAATGTCTTTTCCACTGAAATTAAAGTTCCCTGAAAATATAGGCTTGGCTTATTCTATTCCACAGCATCTCTAACAGCTCCTGCTAACAGTAAGCATTCAATGAACATTTGGTGGGCATGTCCCAGGTTTTATAGTGTCAGGAAAGAGGAGTTTGAGGCACCTTAGTCTGACGTGTGGGGGCGGGGGGAGGACGGAGGAGAGGTATTAAGATCCCCAAGAATACTGGAGAGTACAATGCTGAATCAGAAATTCAAGAGAGGAAGTGTAAAAAGAGGGAAATTGGAGAGTACCAATGGGAGGCCAGAGAGAGGATTGAGGCGTACCCTTTGGGACCAGGGGCTAAGGGTAGGATATCAGTCATTCAGTCATCCAGTCATCCCACATCTTTCAGAAAGGTCAAACAGTAGGGGCAGGGAAGCCGGAAGATCAAGATTTGGCAAGACGTAAAACTAGCAGCCTACTAGAGCATGCCACTTTTGACAGAAGGGGGTGGTGGGCGGAAGCAACCTGGGGGAAAGATTCGAGAAAGCTCACCGGAATATAGACAGTAGATTTGGACAAACTTCTTCAGATAGGGCAAAAGCACTTTAAGGTTCACTACGTTTCAAGTGACGTGGGCTGGGTTGCACTACTCTGGAGTCGGATAGGGGGTCCAGGCCGGGACGCGTGCAGGGCCGCGGCCAGGTTTATCTCACCAGAGCCATTAGGTCCAATAATGGCCGTGAACCTCTGAAATGGTCCGATGATCTGTCGCCCTTTGTACGACTTAAAATTCTCGATCTCAATCAATTTCAGGAAACCCATGGCAGAAGCGGCGGCGGCGGCAAAGCCAAAAGAAATAAGAGAGGCTGCGTTTTCCGCCCAGGAACCGGGAAGCCCGCGCGGGAAACACCGCAGTGCAGGCCGGGCGCATGGCAAGCCTCGCGAGAATGAGTCAAGGCTGATGAAATTTCCGGTTTCCGTAACGGTGGGAACCAGAGGCGGGGCCTTTGGTTGGTGTGGAAGTTTTGTTGATCCGTTGCCAAGGGGCAGGATTACGACAGGTTTTTAAGCCCCACCCTCCTTTCTTGTTACTTGGGCAACACAAACCACTGACGACCTTGCTGGGAGGACTCCTCGCAGCGTTCGGGGATACCATAGGCTTTTTGGCAGGACTAAAATTCAAGCTTTCTGAAATTCACAAGTAGCAGCAGGGTTAGGACCTGCGAGAAGAAACTGGGAACTAGGCGTTGGCTTTAGCCTGGTCACTTGGAAGGCTCGGACCAAGGTTGGGAATTATAAGGACATTGGGACCGGAGGGTTGATGGGAACGAGGGACAGGCAAGATGATTTGTTGTCACATAAACTCAGAGCTTGTCATGCGCGGGTGAGGGGCGATTTGAAGAGGATGGAATGTAAAGGGGAGGTTACAAGTGACAAGGGTATAGACTGGGGGACGCTATGGCCTGAGACACTGCTGTTATATCCTGTCTCCTCTCCTCTCCTCTCCAGAGTTTCGAGACTGCCACTATAGTTCAAGAACCGATTTGGACCTAAACCAGTTGGGCACTTGATCCCAGACCCAACCCTGAGAGCTCCAAAACCTGGACTCCTTGATGAGAAAGGTATTTTGTGTACCCCAGGAGTCAGGGTACTTAAGTCAATGCTCCCCACCATATTTCCTCCCTACCCCCATCTCTTTTCATTGCCTTCCCTCCATCTCATTCCTATTAGTCCATCCTCTTCTGCCCAATCTCTTGCTTCTCATCTTACTCTACCCTCTTTTCCCTATCCTGTGCCCCTCTGTTCCTTCTCCTCTGCTCCCTACCTTTTCTATTCCTCTCCTCCATCCTTATCCCCCTACCAATTCCATATACTGGATAATTGATAGTCCAAGAAGTCTATATCTATTGAATCTTCACTTCTCAGTGTCCCCTTAACCTCCCAGTCCCAGAGCTGTCCCCTTCAATGAAGCCCCAGGTAACTCTAAGCTCATCTGATTGAGAGAGGCCCTAGCCTGTCCTTTTACCTCCTATCCTTCTACATCAGGAGCCCTGGTAGCATAGTGGGTTATGTGTTGAGCTGCTAGCCATAAAATCAACAGTTCTAACCTACCAGATACTCCAAGGGGGACAGATGAGGCTCTCTGCTCCTTTGAAGATGTACAGCCTTGGAAACCCAAAAGAGCAGTTCTACTCTGTCCTGTAGGGTTACTACGAATCAGAGTTGATGTGATAGCAGTATCTTTCTATATCATCCATCAAAAATGTTAATATGAATGTATCATCTCCTCACTTAAAGCCCTTCAATAGTTTCCTCATCAGGCCAAAACCTACAGAGGCTTTAGCCTGGTATTCAAGTACCTTCTTACTCTCTTATTTTTTCTGAAATTAGAAGTGATGACTTTTGAGTTGGACTTTGGAGGATGACTAGAAGTTTACCAAGTGGACAGAGACAGATGATGGGAGTGTAGCATTCCAGACACATGATATAGTGCATGCAAATATGTATATGAGAGATCATGAAGTAATACTTAGTTGTGTGCCTAGAGATAAGGGTTTAGATTTTCTTGTATCCTTCAAAATGACCTGGTTTGTCTTCCCCACTAAGTATGCCTCCTAGGAGAAACCCTGGAATCTAAGAACGGCTGGACAAGTCAGAAATAATTACTGATTATGACAGTAGACGAAATCGGTAGACTGGGGTTGGCATGGAGAGTGTTTGGTGACTGTCATAGCTATTCCTGTTACTATTGTATATTTTTTTAAAGGTGTCACAAGGCTGAGAAGCATGCTAAATACTTTAAATAAGTCCAGGAAATTGAGAAGACATGAATGACAGGATTTAGTAGAGGAACCTTAAATGAAGTTTAAATTGGAGAAACAGGATCAGGCTGAGGGGATAAAATGACCAAAGGACAGAAACATCATAACTCATAGCAAACTATAGTTCCATATTTAGAGTGAGATGAGCATGGGGGAAGCATTAAATGAGATCCCTATCTCTTACCATAACAAAATGCAATTCCAAATGGACTAAAAACATAAATGAGAAAAGATTTTAGAGGAAAATGTCTTTAAGACAACAGGGTAAGGTGTGATTTCTCAAATAATAAAAACTACTAAGGAACCAAGGTAGTATAATAAGTGCTCAACTGCTAACCAAAAGATTGGTGGCTCAAACCAACCATCTGCTCCACAGGAGAAAAGTTCCGGCAACCTGCTGGTTTATGGAACAGTTTTATTCTGTCATATAAGGGTTGCTGTGACAACTGACAGCACGCAATAACAACTTAAAGGAAAAGATTGATAGTTGGACTATATTCATATTTATCAAAATAAGCCATAAAGATAGTAGAAAGATCAAGTGCAAACAGAAAGCTTCTCTAGGTTCTGTGAAGGGTTCATGGGTATTTGTTTTGTTGTTGTGTTTCATAAATATGTATGTTAACCATATTCTTTGTACATATCAATTGCTACCATAAAGTGAGTATATAATAATAAAGTGAAACGACAAGCTACACATTTGGAGAAGATGCTTGTAACACTTAAATTAAGAAATTACCAAAAAAATTACTAGTGTGCAGAGCATGTAAGGAACTCTTAAAATTGTGGGGTTTTTTAAATTATTTTATTGGGGACTCGTACAACTCTTATCACAATCCATACAGTCATCCATTGTATCAAGCACATTTGTACATTTCTTGCCATCATCATTTTCAAAACATTTTCTTTCTTGAGATTTTTGTTTTGTTCCATGATGTCTCCCAGTTACTTAGTAGGCACACCCCAAATATTCCATTGTTAAACAATGGAATGAACATTGAATGAAAAAATTATTCAGAAAAAACACACAGAATAATATTTTGTGAAGTTGAAAAACAAGAAAACTTAAAATACTGTTCACTGAATCATGTACACATACAATATTTTTATGAATTATAATAAGGGAATTGTAACACATTTTAGAGAGTGGTTACTTCTTGGGTTAAGGATGAGAGAGAAAAAATGGGATATTAAGTTGGGGAAGTGATCCTTGTTTCATCATGCCTTTCAGTTTAAAAATCGTGACAACAAATGGGAACTAGCCATAGGAACGGAGAACAGCGTTCTATGTATAAAAGCCCTGAGTTCCAAAGAGTTTTTATGTTTGAGGACGTGATGGGAGTCCAGTGAACCTGGAGCATGATAAGCATGGGCGTGAAAAGAGTTGAACTGGGGAGGTGTACAAGAACTAGAGCTTGCAAGCCCATGATAAGGAGATTAGATCTAAGGGCAGTGGGAAGCCATGGGAGAATGTTAAGGTGAGAAACATGATCAAATCTGAAGATGTTTTCATTTTTCTTTGGCTTTGACTTGGCAGTGTTGGACTGATAACTGCATGGTTAGCATTCCAAACTCACTAGCAATTTCACTGGAGAAAAGGCTTTATGCTCCAACACAAAGATTTATATCCTTGAAACCCCTAAATAAGGTTACTTTGAGTTGGAATCAATGACAGTGGGTTTGGTTTAGTTTGGTTTATGCCAAATGTGAGTTTCTCAAGTTGAGGACATAGACAAATGTAAGCCCTGTACGCTGTCATCTGATGAGACAATAAGTGATAAAAAATAAAGGGGGAGAATTTATTTCAGAAAAATAATTCTGATTTCTGTGGAATAAGTGGACTACAGAAGACAACAGAGGAAGCTGGAAGACCAATGTGGAGACTCTGGCAGTCACCCAAGAAAACAATGATGGCGGTTTATACCAGGGTGGGAGCCATCACAAATTGGGAATATATATTGAAAGAGTAAGAGAAAGGGTTGAAGGATGCCTTATAGGTTTTTGACAACTTGGTGAATGATGGTATCATTTACTGAGATGGGTAAAACTGAGTAGAGCATAAATAAGCAAGGGAGAAGTGTTACAAATGAGTATGAGGCTAGAAAGTGAATAGAGTCAGATCATGAAGAACTTTCTAAATCTAGCAGAGGAGTTTGGACCTTGTAGGCTGTGGGTAACCCCACCCCCTAAAAAAAAGTTGGTTTTGACATGGCCCTGCTCAACACTCACCTTCATGAGATGATCATTGAAGATCAATCAGGGTGCTACAGCAAATGTGAAGAAAGTAGATGGTACCTGGCTATCAATCGAAATAGTGTCTGGTGTCTTAAAGGCTTGTATTCAAGCAAGCAGCCATTGAGCAAGGAATCAACTAAGTCCACACAGAAGCAGCACACCAGCTTGTGTGATCCAAAGATGACAATTACAAAATTCAAATATGGTGAAGAGAAAATACAGAGCTAAAATTAAGAATACCCAATTTGTAAAAGGTTATGAAGGACAGTGGGAGCCCCAAACCCATCTGCACAGTATATAATCAGACTCAGCCGCTGGCATATTCGCCATAGCCAAAGACAAGGCTGAACAGCCCTACTAGCTGGCAGAGACCATTGGAATCTTGATTATGCTGGATCGAACTCGATATTTGGCCAGTCAACCTCCCTATAGGCACGACCTGAATTTGTACTGGTGCAAGCATCTCTTAGTTGGTCTGTGACAGAAATTCTTTCCCTGGCTTTTTGAATGTTGATGGAGGACTTCTCCCACTGACACATTATGTGGGTTTTTGTCTTTATACTAATAGGATCTTATCCTTTTTTCATTGTTTTCTGTGGGGTTTCTCAACTGTGAAGCATAGGAGTGGATGTATGATAACCGATTAAAAATGTCATAGGGAATACGGGGGTGAGGGTGGACAATAGGGAGGGAAAGGGGATCTCAGGAGTAAATACTGAAGGCGGGGTGGGGAAGGAGCACAACAACTCATTTTAAAAGCAGTTCAACCATGGATGGGGGGGGGGGAGAAATGCTCTAAGATAGATGTACTGGTGACTGTATCATTCCCCTTGATATGATTGAATGGTTGAACTATTCAATTATATGATATGTAAATTATGTGCCAATAAAACTCTTGGGGGGAAAAGCTGAGTCAGTTCTGACTCATGGCAACCCTGTGTGTTTCAGAATAGACTGCACTGCATGGGACTGTCACTACTTTGATTGTATGGAAGTAGGTTGCCAGATCTTTCTTTCAATCTACTGCTGAGTTGAATCAAAATTTGTTTTTGAAGCTGCTTTTAAATACTTTAAACAGAGAAATTTCATGGTAATATTTGTTTTTTGAAAGATCACTATGGTAGATAAAATAATAATAACTTATAAATTATCAAGGGTTCATGAGGGAGGGAGGGGGAGGGAGGGGGAAAATGAGGAGCTGATGATACCAAGGGCTCAAGTAGAAAGCAAATGTTTTGAAAACGATGATGGCAACAAATGTACAAATGTGCTTGACACAATGGATGGATGGATGGATTGTGATAAGAATTGTACGAGCTCCCCAGGGGATTGGGTGGAGAGCGGAAGTTTTGAGAATGATGAGGGCAATGAATGTACAAATGTGCTTTACACAATTGATGTATGTATGGATTGTAATAAGAGTTGTATGAGGCCTTAATAAAACGATTTAAAAAAAAGAATTGTACAAGCCCCAATAAAATGATTTTAAAAAAATACATAGGTCTAAATACAAAAAAAAAAAAAGATGACTATGGTAGCCAGTGCAGAGAAAGAACTAGCAAGTCTAACTGTATAACAAGGAAGGCCCTGAGGCTCCTGAGGATGTTGTGTTGCACCAAATTTTGCAGCTTGCACTAAGGTGACAACAGAGCTGGAGGACAGATAATGCACTATATTTGAAATTCAGATCAGTAGGAACAAATGCCGGAGGGATATTATGGGAGGAAAGAAAAGAGGGAGGGATAGTCATGGATGATGGTCTTTATTGATTAAGCATTCTGTTTCACCCTTGTTCCAGGATGTATAAGGTAGATCTGCCATCAGATTCCAAAGAGTTGGCAGCCATTAAGGCTAGACAAAATCGAGAAAAGGAACGACAGAACCGATTCTTCAATGTGCGAAACCGAGTCATGGGGGTAAGTGTGCAGCAGGGACTTTCTCAGGGCTATGGACACTGTGAGGATGGTGCAGGACCATACAATATTTCCTTCTGTTGGGTATAGGGTCACTATGGGTCAGAACCAACTCGATGGCACCTAACCACAGAGGCCTGGAGGGGAGAAAGATGAAGCTCTCTACTCCCAGAAAAAAGCTCTTCTCAGAAACTCACAGGGGCAGGTCTAGCCTGTCCTATCGAGTCACTGTGAGTTGGCATCAACTCGATGGCAGTGAGATTTGGGGTTTATAGACCTGGAGAGTAATATAGCAGTGCCCATTATAACATTTCAGTAGGCCCTAAAGCTGGAAAGGAGAGTAGAAAGTACCTATCCTACAGGCCTGGGAAAGACCTGGGAAGGGGTTATAGAGGATGCTGGGAAAGAGACTGAGAAGAGTCAATGACAACTAACTCTTCTTGGACCACCTGTTCTCGAAATACAGGCAACATGGAGTCAAGAGGTCTAAAGAAATATTTGACCGGGAGGGTGAAGGGAAGTGGGGGTAGAAAGGAGGAACGGATTACAAGGATCTACATATAACCCGCTCCCTGGGGGATGGACAACAGAAAAGTGGGTGAAGGGAGATGTTGGACAGTGTAAGACATGACAAAATAATAATAATTTATAAATTATCAAGGGTTCATGAGGGAGGGTGGAGCGAGGAAGGAGGGGGAAAATGAGGACCTGATACCAAGGGCTCAAGTAGATAGCAAATGTTTTGAGAATGATGATGGCAACAACTGTACAAATGTGCTTGACACAATGGATGTATGTATGGATTATAAGAGTTGTACGAGCCCCAATAAGATGATTTTTTTTAAAAAAAGAAATATTTGGTCTTGTATACACTTAAACAACCTCTGGAGGGCTCTACAAGCATACCCCGTTTTATTGCTTTTCGTTTTATTGCACTTGACAGAGTATATTTTTTACAACTTAAAAGTTTGTGGCAAACCTGCATTGATCAAGACAATTGGTGCCATTTTACCAACAACATATGCTCACTTTGTGTCACATTTTTATAATTCTCATATTTTAAGCGTCATAATATACACATAGCAGACTATAGTTTAGTGTAAACAACTTTTGTATGCACTGAGAAATCAAAAATTTGTGACTTGCCTTATTGTGAAAGGAGCCCTGGGGCATAGTGTTACATAATAGGCTGTGAGCCACAAGGTCAGCAGTTCAAAACCACCAGCCAGCTCCCTAGGAGAGAGAAACAGGGCTTTCTACCCCCATAAAGTTAGGCTTGGAAACTTATAGGGGGTGTTCTTCACGGTCTCAGAGGATCGCTATGAGTCAGCATCAACTCAATGACAGCAGGTTTTGTTGTTGCTTTATTGTGATACTTGCTTTATTTCATTGGTCTGGAACAGAACCCACAAGATCTCTAAGGTAATCAGAGTGAGAGACAGAAATGGGAGGAACACTTACTCTTCGTTAAACTGTATTCCCTTTTGTACTATTTCGGAAAGTTTTCAATGAATTACAATGAAAAATAAAGAGAAAATATTGATCAGGGAAAAAAGAATTGATGTGTGTATGGATTGTGATAACAGTTGTATGTTTATAAAAATAAAATGTTTAAAAAAAGAAAAAAGAAGAGAAAAAGATCGTCAGTTGGGTGAATAGAGGAGGATGCACAATGATATTCTGGAAGACACCAGATCTGTAGGCAAGGACCCGGCTTATTCGATGTGTCTTCTAGGAGCGCCAGGGTCCCTCTCTGTTAAATGAGGCTAAATAACGTTTTTGAGGGAATGATAACATACAGTAGCAGCTTTGAAAACCAGAGCACAGCAGCTGACACAAGTAATGAGCTTAGAAATGTGTGGTCTGATTCCTCATAACCTCTGTGCCAACTGCTGTACTAGGTTGTGAATATAAAACCCAGGTTGCCTTTTAAAAAGCTCAGTCTGGTGAAGGAAATAATAGATAGAGACAGATTTAAATATATTGTAGACAGTGTGTGGAATTAGCAGCAACCAAAGGAGTCAAGAAGGTGACGCCTTAGCAGGTCTTAAGGAAAGAAAGAGTCTCAGGTGAAGAAAGAATAGCTTGTAAAAGGTCTATGTTTAAATGGCCTTCGGGAGGGGGGAGCAGAGACAGAGGGGGAAAAAAAGAGAACCTGATGCCGGGGGCTTGAGTGGAGAGGGAATGTTTTGAGAATGATGAGGGCAATGAATGTGCAAATGTGCTTTACACAATTGATGTATGTTTGGATTGTGATAATAAAACGATTTTTTTTAAAAAGTTTAAACAGCCTAAGATATGCAGAGAATCGTAAGCAAAGCTACTAAGGCTAGTGTTATACTGGTACATGAGAAAAGAGTACTAAGAGATGAGACAGGAGGAGTGGGGGACTTAGAAAGCTATGCTCAGTCACTGAAACTTTATCCAGTATGTACTGGAAATCTATAGCATTTGGGGATTAATTATAAGCGGTTTATGTTAGTAAATCCAAGGCCCCTGATGGACCCCTATGCTTACTTAGTTCATTTCTTTGGAACCAGGTGGATGTCAAAGCCCTAAATAGCCAAGTTGCAGAACGAAAGCTTCGAGAGACAACAGAGCGGAACAGGGATGCAGCTTATGGTAAAGAAAGAGGCCAGAACATATGTACAAATGTGCTTGACACAATGGATGAATAGATGGATGGTAATATGAGCTGTGTAAGCCCCCAACAAAATGTTTTCTTAAAAAAGAAGAGGCCAGGGGCCAGAGTAGGGCCAGAAAGATGAGACAAGGGACTCAGTAGGCTGAAGTAGGGCAGCTCTGGCTCTGAGTAGGGCCTAAGGGGTAGGGGTAGTTGGGTAATCAAATAGGCCTTGGGAGCACAGGCCATAGTAGGTGGGCTCTGTCCCTCCTGTGGTGCCTTCACAATGATCTTCCCCGCCTCCAGGTACCAACCAGGTACATTATGATCTAGTAGCCCAAATGCTAGAGAAGGAACAGGCAGAAAGGACACGTCGGTTGGCCAAGAAAATCCAGGACTTTCGTGAACAGAAACAGCAGCTCAAGAACAGATGTGAATTTGACCTTTGGGATCCAAATGGACTTAAGAAGGTGCTTCCCAACCACCTTTGTGACAGTGATCCCCTCTGTGGCCCAGCCAGCCTCCAGTGCTTCTCTGGGAAGAATCTGGACAGGGCTACATACCTGAGATTGCAGCAGGAACAGTTCAGATACAGCCTGGAAAGGCAGCTGCAGGAGCAACAACAAGCCAGATTTAATAAGATACATACAGGTAAGCAGCCAGGCCCTCTAGACTCGGAGACCTGGGGCTTGGTGGAAAGCTGTCCTAAGCCAGGTATAGTATCCAGACCAGAGGTACATTGGGGAAGTCCAATTCTCCATGGAATTGATGTTGAAAGGTTAGACTAGGCAGACTGACTTCCTTCTGTCTGACAGTATAGCCATGGTTCTGATTAGTCGTTACTTAGAGGCAATACAATGTACAGACCTAATTAATGACTCTGCCATTTACTGGTTGATTTGAGCAAATTTATTTTCTTCTCTGGACTTCAGTTTCCTCATCTTTAAGACAAGGATAATCCATATTACATAGAGGTTTTGTGAGAATGAAATGAGATGTATGCAGGTAAAGTACAAGCTGCCACACTGTTCTCCCTACCCTGCCAATTCACTTCAGTTGCCCTCAGCCTTCATTCTGGACTTAACCACCATGTCACTTACCCCTTCTGTGCTAAGGATTCTCTACCTGCAGATTCGCATATCTAGATTCCTGCTGACTACCACCAACTCAACATGCTCTAAACAAATCATCAGTGTCCCCAAACCTGCTTTTCATTTTGTATTCTTCTGGTGGTGACCATATCATTGAAGCTAGAAAACTGGGACACATCCCTAAATCTTTCCTCTACTACCTCACCCAACCCATCAAGTATTGTTGATATAAATTCCTATACATTTCCCCTCCAATTTTTCTATCACTGAATCCTCCCAACAGACTTACTACAGTAGTCTTCACGGTGGATTCTCTGCCTCCAGGTTTCCCCACAGCAAGGAGCTTTCTAGAATATAAATCTTATCATGTCACCCTCCCCTCCCACCCCCTTAACTCCTTCCATGTTCCCTACTAGCTTCAGGGTCATGTCTCTGACCCTTAATATGGGCCCTGCAAAGCTCTGAAACCAAACTCACTGCCATCGAGTTAATTCCATTCATAGCAACCATATAGGACAGGGTTTCTGAGACTATAAACTCTTTATGGGAGTAGAAAGCTGCATTTTTCTCCCGGGGAGTGGCTGGTGGTTTAAAACCAGTCCCAGGTGTAACCACTGTGCCCCCAGGGCTTCCCTGCAAAGCTCTCCAGTCACTCCTATTTTTGGCTTCAGAAACAGCAGACAAAAATGTTTAGAAAATGATGATGGCAACATAGGTACAAATATGTTTCAGACAATTGATGTATGGAATGTGATAAAGCAAATAGATAGATGAAATATAGATAGATAGAGCGAGCTGTAAGAGCCCCCAATAAAATGATTAAAAATAAAACAGCAGACTATTCGTACTTTAAGATATACACAACACTGTTTCTTCATTTCTTTCATTCATTTAACAAGTATTTATTGCGAACCTACTTACTATGTGCCAGGCTCTGGTTTAAATACTGGGGCATAGCAGCAACGAGCAAAAAAAACTCTGTCCTTACAAAGATTGCCTTCTAATGAGACAAACAGTAGATAAAATATTTTAGTAAAACAGTATATTAGATAGTGATAAGTGCGAAGGAGAAAAATCCCCTGAGGATAACTGTTTTGGAGTAGGCAGGTTGCAAAATTTAGGTTAGGCAACAAGAGAAAGGCCTCAATGAGAAAGTAAGTTAAGAAAGTAAGAAGGAAAAAAAGAAAAGAAAGAAAGAGAAAAAGAGCCAAGAATAACATCTATTACTCATCCAAAGCATGTTCTAGGGCCAGCAGAGACCAGAGGCTGGAATGAAAACATTTCAATACTTTGGCTCATGCTTGGAATGCCCTATGCTTTTTGCCTATATACAAAAACATAATCCAATAACCAACTCTTTCTGCAAGCCTTCCTCCTACCCACCACCCAAAGCACTGAAAATTCCTTTTACATATCTCTGTCATTGTTCTTACCACATTATTATCTTCTTCACTAAGCAGAGCTGAGGAAAGAATCTGATTTAGTGGTGTCCTTGGAGACCAATACATGTAGATAGAGGCTTCTCAGTGCCATCAAGTAGATTCTGACTCATAGCAAACCTATAGGACAGAGTAGAACTGCCTCTGTGGATTTCCGACACTATCAATCTTACAGAAATAGAAAGCCTCCTCTTTCTCCTGAGTAGCTGATTTCAAATTGTTGATACTGTAGTTAGCAACCCAATGCATAACCCACTATGAAACCAGGGCTGTTTTTACTAGCTACCGACTTAGAGAGATGAAATTGTTTTACCTAAGGTCATGTACCTTCTAAGATACATGACTGGGACTGGCATTGGGACCCATCTTTGGGGTACATCTTTCAGCTAGTCTTTTGAAAATTTGTTGCTACCACTTTGGCTATCCTTAGTCCCCCAATGTAGCTTCTTCCATATCCTAACTCAAAATATTACCTACCTCTCTAAACTTACATATACACAAAACTTGTTGAACAAATGACTAAATGAGGGACCAGAAATGGAGCAGGCCAGTGTTGTACTCAGACCACATTTCTTTGTAGATATGCTTAATGACAAGCTGTGCCTTGGCATGGACATGCGGGCCACTCACCTGGCCAACTTGGAGAAGTCCTGTCACATGGCTACGAAGTCTGCCATAGCCAACGTCAACAGAGCCCAGGTATGGCCTGAGCCATCAAGTGCACTATGTTCCCCTCAGTCCCCTGAACAATGTCCTGGGGAAGCTTAACCATATTTTTCCTTACCTCTCTACCTAAGGACTCCTTCCTTCACCTCAAGGCTCCCTTAAGTCAGACGATACCTCTCCCTACCTCCAGACTCAGGATGACTTGAGAACAAAGTACTTACCTTCCCACCCCAGCCTCTTAGTCTAAGGGATTCCTAAGGACAGAGAAGTTCTCCCTGCCTATTCACCCTTCTGCCACCTCAAGGGTCATTAAGAGGCCCTGTGGTATCTGCTCCTTCTCTGAGATGGAGAGCAAGATCATATAACCGCCCCGTCCCCACACCTGAAAGTTTTGTGAAGTTGGCCACTCAAATGCTAACATTTATGGGGACCCCACCAGGTAACTGAGCTGGCTGAGAGGAAGCACTGTGAATATCAGCGTCAGCAGGCAGCCAACTTTATGGATATCCAAAACCAGATTACAAGCGACCTGCTGACCGAGAACCCCCAAGTTGCCCAAAACCCTAACGCTCCCCATCGAGTCCTGCCCTATTGCTGGAAGGGAATGACTCCAGAGCAGCGAGCTGCCATCAGGAAAGTCCAAGAAGTGCAGCGCTGTGAAAAGAAGGCACAGCGCCAGGCCAAGAAAGCACGGGATGAGGAATGGAAAAGCCAGACCACATACTTGGCCCAGGCAATGCTAGAGCTGGAACAGCAAGAGAGGGAACTGTGTACTGAATTTCGGAGGGGGCTGGGCTCCTTCAACCACCAACTGGCTAAGGAGCAAAAAAAAGAGTGAGTACTAGGGGATGGTGGTGGGGAGGGATGTTGAAAGTCAGGGAAGGTGAGGACGGATGTTGAGAAGGAGAAAGGGAAAGGACATCAACTGAACGCACACTGGACTTCTTTTACAGGCAGAATTACCTGAATTCAAGAATCTACACCAATCAACCTACATCCCAGTATCATCTACAGTTCAATACCAGCAGTCGCTGAGCTCAGAATGGTCTTCTTCCCCGTCTCCATCAAGCTCATAGAAGGCTATGAGGAAAAGAGGAAAATACTGTTTACACCCACCCTCAATCCATTCCCCAATAGGAAGTAACTGAACCAATACTACTACCTTCTTCCCCCCATAATAAAGTTATTCGCTGAAATCAAGAGTGTTGTTTTAGGATACAAAAAAATATGAAATACTGCTTTTCCCATCCCACCCCAGGGCTCTGAGCAATCAACGTTGTCAGAGCCTTCACACATTCACCTTGTTTCCCCATATCAGTCCCCCCAGCACATAGTGCTGAGAAATACAAACTTTATTAGGCACAGAGAGTGACATGTAGGCAAAGTTACAAAAGAGCCTCTGGGATTCCTCTCAAAGTGGACTCTAGCATTCCAAAGGAAAGGCAAAGGTGGGGGGGGTGTTCTCTGCCATCTCCTTTCAGGGCTGCATTCGGATGGCACCATCTAGTCGAATGACTTCTCCATTGAGAAATGGGTTCTCAATTATGGCCTGTACCAGATGAGCATACTCAGTAGGGTCGCCCAGTCGGCTGGGGAAGGGCACCTGGCTGGCCAAGAAGTTGCGTACCTTGTCTGGGAGGCTAGTCAGCAATGGAGTGCCAAACAGACCTAGATAAAACAGCCAAAGTCAGAGACCCACACTTGTTTTCATATTCTCTTGCCCTTCCTTCCTTATCTCAGCCATACTTCTTGGTGCATCCCTAGGGTCCAGAGATGGAAGGCTACTGCTATTTCGGTAGGGCTTTCCCACCTAACCCCCCACCCCCCACTCCACCACCTCTGCCCACAGGATCCTCCTGCCCCAAAATCTCAGGTGTGGCATGGAAAGGGTATATCTACCTGGAGCAATGGTCATCACCCGTATGCCAATGGGAGCCAGATCCCGAGCAATAGGCAGTGTCATGCCTACTATGCCCCCCTTAGAAGCAGAGTATGCAGCCTGTCCAACCTGGAGAAGGAGGAGTGGAGGTAAAAGGTGGGAGGACCCCAACACATCACTGAGGAGGCACAAACCTTGTTCTTGCTTACATACCTGGCCATCAAAGGCTGCAACACTAGCAGTATTGATGATGACGCCACGTTGGCCTCCTTGGTCTGGTTCATTCTGGCCCATTTCTTGGGCCACGAGGCGGATCATATTGAAGGTACCTATGAGATTCACCTGGAAGACATACATGATGTAAGACCCGAGGCAGACGCATTCTTCTGTACCCTGAAAGCTTTGGGGATAACCACAGCCAGATACCTCTTCCTATCCAAGGTGAGCTTTAAGGTCTTACATTGAGAACTTGTTGGAAGTCCTCCAAGCTATGGACCTGGCCCCTCTTTAAGTTGTATGTCTTGATGGCCACGGCAATGCCTGCACAGTTGACTGCGACATCCACACGGCCAAACTTTGCTTTTGCTACAGTCAGGGCTGCTTGCACGTCCTTCTCTGAGGTCACCTTGAAAGGGAGAAGTGGAAATGGTATTGCCTATATCTGCACACTACTAAACCTAGGAGAATGGAGTCCCAGAGTTGTATAAACTGGGGAAAAACCAAGAGGAAGTTACAGTGGAACTTGAGAGAGGAAGAAGAGGATTAAGGTGAAAATTTTAGGTCCTCAGGGCAGTGTTTCAAAAAAAACGGTTCAAATCTACATTATCGATAAATTCAGATACCACTGGGGATTCTCAATTGCTATAGACTGGAGCGCTAATAAATCCTTGCTTTGAAAATTACTGATATGAAGATAGCTTTCCCATATGCCTACCTGCTGAGATGACTTAAGCACCCTTTACTTTCCATAGCTTCCCCCAAAATTTAACCACATCCTAATGTAAAATTACAGGGCTCAATATGCATTTCAAACACATACGCCCTTCAGGAAATTCTGCCAGATCCAATCCTCATCCCCATTCTTGTGAATTTGAGATTTCTATATTTCACAGTGCTTGAAGGCTCAGGCCCAAAGGGACAAGGGCATGGGCTCATTGCACACATAGACGGTACTCTTAAAGGGAGGGAAATCACAGGTTCGCAAGCTGGTGTTGTTGAGCTCCTGCACATCCTGGAGAGGAGGGGTGTCCCCACTTACGTCGACAGGGGCGAAGGCACAGTTCTTCCCTAATTTCTTGGCCTGGGCCTCTCCATCCGAGTTGGGCAGGTCCAGAAGCACAGCAGAGGCTCCCTGCCCCACGAGTCGCATCGCCGTGGCTAAGCCTAGCCCCGAGGCTCCTCCGGTTATCACTGAAACCAGGCCCTGTGAGGAGCGGCACAGTCAGCTGCTGCCCAGTCCAGACCACCGCCACGCACACAGCTGTCCTTTCTCCCGGCTTCCGAGCAGGTGGGAGGGGGTGCAAGGCGGCTTCTAGTTACTCCTACAGCGCGACCGGGTAGGCTCCCTCCCCTCGGCGGACGGGACCTCGGAGGAATGCACCGGCAGGCAACCCCCCCAGTCACCCCTGATACGTGTGCCTTAAAGTGTTGACCTTCACCGCCAACCACCGCCAAAATCCGACCTAAGCGAAGCATGACTCATGATGCTTTCGCAGCACCGATCCCTCCCCAAACCTCCCCGACTCCCGACCCAGATACACGGCTGCGCCGTGCCAGCCACGCAACAAGCAGGAGAGAAGTGACTGTACCTTCACACTCCGACACGCAGCAGCCATTTTGCTCCAAGCCTCCTCCTCACCAGCAGATCTGCTCCGGGCTCGCTGATTGGCCGAGGTGGAGTCGCAAGGCAGGGCCGAGAAGGCGGGCGGACAGACGTGCGCGAGAGGTCATGGGCAGGCCCTGTTGGGTTTCTCCTCTGCAGTGTCAATCACAGACAGGATGTCCTTGGAGAATTGTTTCACCCGAGAAAAGAAGCCAGTGGTGATCGCATGACACCACTACACCCACCGCGTTTGGGCAGGCTATGATGAGGCCTTTTCTCTCTAGAAAAAGCCGGCATACCTGTCCAGACATATCCGAGACTCCTATTTTCCAGACTCTGTGCTGGGCACTTAGAATAGCTAGAGGAATTAAATAATAAAATGCCTGTGGTGTTCTGGAGGAATAAAAAAGCCTCCATTAAAATATAATTTATATACATGCATTTATTTGTCTACAAAATGTTTGATGATCTACTTCTAAAAATCAGTCAGTGAAAACTGTATGCATCTACAACAGCCTTATCCACTTGCAGCTAACCTTGTGCATAACCCAGCAGCTAACAACAGCAACAAACTTATTCCAATACGAATGTTACCATGAGTCAATTCTGACGCATAGAAATCCTATCTATGCAGAAAACAGCTTCTCCAGGGGTTTTTCAAGATTAAAATCTTTAGAAAGCAGATCACTGGGCCTTACTTACTTCAGTGACAATTCTGGGGGTGTTTGACCTAGCCTGAACTAGTCCAGGACTTAGCCATTTTTGTGCCACTCAAAGAGGTTGAAGCTGTTCTAATCCTCGTTATTTCAAATTTTTTAATTTAATAATTCGTTTACTTTTAACAAGTTCATCAACATACAATTCACATGTCATACATTTCAATAGTTGAATCATAATCATAAGAGTTGTGCAACCATGACTGCATCAATTCCAAGACATGTCTTCTACTTTGTATTCATTGTTGGTAGCTCCACATTTCCTGCCAGCCTCCCTGTCATGGCCCTTTGAATCTATTGATCCAGTTTCTGTCTCTAGGTTTACCTAATCTGGGTTTCATATACAGAAAATGGCACAAAAATCAAGACTGAATACAAACAGATAACCTAATTACAGTGAAACTTTAAAAACATTTTATAAATAACAAAGCAGAAAATATTAAAAGCTACAGCAATTATATATTGGGTCAAGTGGGAGCTCACTGACAAGGTGTTAGATTTTGACCTAAATCAAATTGCAGTCAGCCACACTGCAATGTCTGGTACCAAGGCCTTTCCCATCTCTGGTCCATAGTCAGTGGGTGTCATCAATGACTTAATCTGCATGGGAGGACCCTGCAGATGGGTTTTGGGCTCTTACTGTTAACCACATCCTTATGTAAACTGGGTGTTCAGAATTGAAATTCTAATACCATTCCGTCCTCTGGGTTTGTATTTTTACTGTTTGTAATTCTTGGATCACACATGCTGATGTGCTTCCTTTATGTGGACTTAGCTGACACCTCATTTAGATTGCCACTTGTTTTTTTGTTGTTGTTCATTTGTTTTTTAAATATCACTTTATTGGGGGGCTCGTACGAATCTTATGACAATCCATCATTCAATTGTATTAAGCACATTTGTACATATGTTGCCATCAACATTTCCAAAACATTTTCTTTCTAATTAGCCCTTGATATCAGCTCGTTTTTCCCCCTCCCTCCCCAACCCTGCTCCTTGTTTGAAGACAAGCTTTTAAGACCCTAGATGCTATTCTTTCTGATGGTCAGGCACCACCTGCTTCCTTCCGACACTTTGCTGTAGCACCCATATCTTCAGTGAACATTTCATATGGATAGATATTGAGCAGGTCCATGTCATAAGATCTAATTGTTCATGGATTGGGGCTATGATTAAGTGTGAGCTCGAAATCCCATTCATATAGCTATAGTTTATATATATATCCTTGATTCACTTTAAAACCATCGTTATTATTATGTTGAAGGGCTTTATAAATAATTTCCATGGGGCATATGGTAGTTCTGTTGATATTATCATTAATTTGGCCACTGGTAAAGAATGTAAAACACGATCAAGGATAAGACAGATTTTTAGATTGTTTATTTGTACAGATTAACAACATAGGTGACTGGACACTATATATGCTTACAATGAGGATTGGCGAGAGGGCAAAGCATGAGGTTTTCTGCTCCTATGAACACTTGTAGTCTCAGAAACCCACAGAAGCAGATCTAACCTGCCCTATAGGGTCACTATGAGTCAGAATTGGCTCAATGGAAGTGAATTTGGTTTTTATTTGGTCAAGGTCACATCATTGTCTTTGTTATCTCCTGGAATACCCCAACACACATACACACCCAGCATCCACATAACACCATATCTTACTCTGAGTTTGTTCTTATAAGTCTTCCCAGTCTTCCTCCCCTCCACCTCTTTTTTTTTTTTTAACAACAAAATCTTCAGAGATTTTTACTTTCATTTTATCCTTAAAATTGAAATGCCTTTCCCCAAACTAATTCCACAGCTGGTAGTACATAGCAGCATCATTAGTTACACTTCAACGTGTAGTTTGTTGTCTTTCTACTATTGAGACATGTCTTAATATGAAAGAGTATGCTCAAATAGTACATGTAGACAGACAAGCATCCTGTAATCTCCACACTTGATTGTCCCTATTATCTCCCACTTCTCAAGTTACTGGGGTGCCTGGCCAGAAGGGGGGCACCTCACAGCCCTCCCTCTGTTCTGGGACTAGGCCAGTGGGTCTCCACCTCTTTTTTCATATCTTTGTTGTTGGTTGTTTTTTTTTACTTTTTAAAATTGTTTTATTAGGGGTTCATACAACTCTTATCACAATCATACATATATCAATTGTGTAAAGCACATTTGTACATTCATTGCCCTTATCATTCTCAAAACATTTGCTCTCCACTTAAGCCCCTGGTATCAGATCCTCATTTTTTCCCGTCCCTCCCTGCTCCCCCCTCCCTCATGAGTCCTTGATAATTTATAAATTATTATTTTGTCATATCTTGCCCTGTCCGACATCTCCCTTCACCCACTTTTCTGTTGTCTGTCCCCCAGGGAGGAGGTCACATGTAGATCCTTGTAATCGATTCCCCCTTTCCAACCCATTCTAGCTCTACTCTCCCAGTATCACCACTCAAACCACTGGTCCTGAAGGGATCATCTGCCCTGGATTCCTTGTGTTTCCAGTTCTTATCTGTACCAGTGTACATCTTCTAGTCTAGCCAGAGTTGCAAGGTAGAATTCGGATCATGATAGTCAGGGGGGGTGGGGGGAGGAAACATTTAGGAACTAGAAGAAAGTTGTATTTTTCATCATTGCTATGAGACCCCTCTGCAAGGGGATCTCCAGTGGCCTACTAATGGGCTTTGGGTCTCCACTCTGCACTCCCCCCCTCGTTCACTATGGTAAGATTTTTTGTTCTGATGATGCCTTATACCTGATCCCTTCAACACCTTGTGATCGCACAGGCTGGTGTGTTTCTTCCATATGGGCTTTGTTACTTCTGAGCTAGATGACCGCTTGTTTACCTTCAAACCTTTAAGACCCCAGACGCTATACCTTTTGATAGCCGGGCACCATCAGCTTTCTTCACCACATTTGCTTTTGCACCCATCATATCTTTGAAACCTAATTTTTTGTTGGCCTTTTCGTTTTCTTCTAGGCTAGCAGCTTCTGTCTAATATTCTTAACTTTTTTCTCTGACCAGCATAGACCCTCTCCCATCTTTTCTCTCTATTCTTTATTCTCACTAGTATCCTTAACCCTTTTGCCCCTTGGCAAACATGGAAGCCAGAAGACCTGGGTTTGGCTCTCAACATCATCATTTACTAGCTGATGTCCTTGGACAAAGTACTTAACTGATGTGCATCAATTTTCTCTCCTATAAAATGGATGTAATCTAAGCACCTACTTTACAGGATTGTTGTAATGACTATTCCGTAAACCTAAACCAAACTCACTTCCATCAAATTGATTGAGTTTTTGGTGTCTCGGCAGATACTCTTTTTTGTTTTTTTCAGTGCTATAAATATATCTATCATACTTTTGCCAATTCAACATTTTACAGGTGTACAACTTATTAACAGCAGCTAAAATAGTTGGCTGTGCAACCCTATCCTTAATCAATGTGAATTTTCTATTACTGTAAACTGAAATTCAATATACCCATTCCTCCTTTATAGATATTGTTTCCAAAGACCAGGTCATTATGTGAAAATTGGTATTATGCCAAAATGGAGGGTGCACATATTGGATTGTTGAATTGTGCTCCCTAAGATATGTTTCCACTTGACTGGACAGTTATATAATGATATAATGTGGCAGTTGAGTCATGAAGCAATCACACCCATGATATGACCTAATGCAGCAGTTCTCAACCTGTGGGTCTCGACCCCTTTGGGGGTCAAACAACCCCCTCACAGGGGTTGCATAAGACTATTGGAAAACATAAATATTTCACAATATATAATTACATATTGTTTTGTGATTAATCACTATGCTTTAGTTATGTTTAATTATGTTCAATTTGTAACAATGATAATACATCTTGCATATCAGATATTTACATGACGATTCATAACAGTAGCAAAATTACAGTTATGAAGTAGCAACGAAAATAATTTTATGGTTGGGGGTTACCACAACATGAGGAACTGTATTAAAGGGTCTCGGCATTAGGAAGGTTGAGAACCACTGATCTAATGTGATCAATCCTGATCCAACATAAGGGGATTTAGATGGGGTGCTGATGTGTTGTTAGGTGTCTCCTAGTGGGCTCAAACTCAGCAACATCACAACAGAAAAAGGAGGGAAAAAGACATTGTCCAGTCCTGTGGCATCCTCACAATTGCTGCTATGTTTGAGCCTGTTGTTAGAGCCACTGTGTCAATCCCTCTCATTGAGGGTCTTTCTCTTTTCCTTTTTTTTCACTACTACTTTTTTTTCTTGGCATATAATTCACATCAATTAAGAGAAAGTGTGCAATCATCACCACAATCAATTTTAGAACATTCTTTTTTTTCTTATAGTTATTTAT